ACTTTCTCAGGGTGACCTTATAATTATGAAACGGTGCAAAAACCGATAAACTCTTCTAAAAAAGTTCAGAAAAATGCAGCTGCGGCTAAAAAACAGAAACCTAGGTTATTCGTGCTGGGGAATCCGTTTATGATGCTAGAAAGAATCCTTTATGATTGCTTGTTCTGAAAGTGCAAAATTTGAGGGTGACCTTATAATTATGAAACGCACTGTAGTCGCAATCCTCCATGTCATGCCGAATCCCCTCAACACCAACTGCTCCACGTTGCACAACAGGTTGCTTACTTTGCTTCGGGCCATCTATGTGAGACCAGGCATTTGAAAGCAGTCTTCAAGAATAGCTGACAGCGTTAAGGAGCCCTGTCCGCAATTGATTTGCGCTTGAATTCGAGTGAATGGCTTATCAAAGTAGGTACAACTTCTTACCTTACGCTGCAAGTTATATAATACTCCGCGATATTAGTCACTGTTTGATTTTCTTTTTCTTATTCATAGAAAAATGGTCAATGCCTTTCCTTAAACTTACCTGAGAGAGCACGTAGTCAAAGTCAATAAGGTTTCCAGAACCGTGGAGTATTTCTGTGCCAACCCCCGCAAGTTGATCCTAAAATAAATCGTGTGTCGAGCAGCTACTTGTGAAAAAGACTACATACAATAATTGAATGAAGACTCGTTTGATTATCATTTAGCAGCCACGGATCAATCACGTATTTCTATGAGCAATGGGCCTGTTTGAATCAGTGGGACCCTCTAAATGGGACCTTCTTGAAACTATATCTTTGACTTTACACCTGGACTTGTCGCTAAACTGTCTGCTTTTAATCGTCCCCTTCAGTACATATTTGCATTCCTTTTCCCGAACATCTTAACACACGTCCAAGAGCAAACATTTTTCGTAACTTTTCTTCCGTCGTTTTGGCAAATTAATGCTGAGAGGTTAGTCATATGTGATTTGAAGCCCACCAGCAGAAGAGCTTGTAAGAATGACCCTCAAAAAGTCACATTGTTGACTGAGTCTTGGGGCTATTAAAGTTATGGCAGGTTCTCTTGTCATGAGTAATAGTGTTCAAGTGTGGTTTAGAACCAACTCACTCTGAACTTAAAAGCGCGAGTGTTAATGTAGATGACTGCTTTTCGATCATAACCCATCATCTAAGGCATTGTTCAAAGACTATATATGACACTTGCCCATTCCTCATGTTAGTCTCTTACCTTTGCATGGGAGCGGTTCGATAGTCAGTACATACATTCCGCTAATGCCTTCATTATCTACATTCGCGCCGAAATCATTATAAAGAAAAGCAGGAAAGTAATTCAGGTGACTCTGAGCTTCTCAATGATAAAGTTGTTTCAATACACGATATGCTTCTATGAATGTTGCTGGGAAATCGACTATTCAAAGGACTTGGGAGGGTCGCAAAAATTAATAGCATTGAGTAAAATTTTATATAAGGATCTGAACGACAGTAACCCAAGTAAGTTCTACATAGTCCTCGTGGTACAATAACTCAATTCTCATTATTTTATATAAAAAGAGAAAAAAGTTCTCGTGGAACTCACCATGAGCGTCGACGAAGTAGTGTTTTGTGAACTCCATTACTGCGCTTGACTGAAGAGGCCATCGAGGTAATGACAGGAGTCGACGTCGTTCGAGCGCTCCTCTCAAAAGATGGTCACCGGCATTGCATATAATAGCAACAACAATTCTCAACTTTCCGGGTATGCAAGAAACTGGTTCTGGTCTTCACAAAAGCAAGTGTCAAAAAGATGCTACTGTTGGGTTTTGCAAGCTCCTTTCACTGAGCTAACCATGAAAACTCATATCTTTTGGTTACATTCACTACTTTCCCTCAAATTCTATTGTATGATAGTCATTATTCAGGTTTCGAACCAGCGTGATTTGACAGTAATCTGGATTGCGTTTCTTGGCTACAATATTTGGTGATGGTACAACGTATTTAGATATCACTCTATGATATGGGGTTGTCGTATTCAATCAGAGCTTCTTATCTTTTCCGAATTCCTCAATTGCAAATTTAAGAAAAATCTTCTGCCGCTGTCAGACTCGTGGAATATGATGACATTTTGCCTATTGGCTATTGTTACCATCCTTACCATATATATAACTGCCCGCGTCTGTCTGACTGTATATATGTCCCGAAATTAGTAATTATCTGAAGAATCATAAGAACTCGCAGAAGTGTCCGGTCCCATCTGCAATATTCTTAATTAGACTCATCCACGGTGAGCGAAGCGCTCTCGATTTTCCGCATGAATTCATAACCCACCGACAGATTTCTGAAAGTCGGATTCTTCATTTTTGTAATAATAGGGGTTCAATTGCGAGCTTGAAGATTCCGCGTTGTAGCAGATGGTGCGTTCCTCAAACTGGAGGGAGAAAATCGTTGACAAGTCGATCTAGAGTCTCCTGAGAAATTCAATTTAATTTAGTGAACAGGCTCTCTGAAAACCCTTTCGAAGTGGCAACAGGCATCGCGAAAATAAGAACTGCCTTGCCTAAGAAGGAAGCAGAAAATAGGTACACTGACATGAAATCATCACTTTCGTCTAGGACGAGAATTGATGAGAAGAGCAACGACGAAGCTCACCGCTTAATTCTGAGAAATCTCGTAAGATCTGGGTCAACCTTTCTCAAGACGATGACGTCAAGAAAGTCGATTTGGAAGGATGAGTTTGACCAGAAAACTCAACTAAAAAGCTTGTATAAACGAACCGGTATTTAGCTGGTGGCCTTGCCTTTACCTGCTTACTACAGAACCTCGAAAAAGATGTTGGAAGTCCTGAAATACGTGCTACTTTCTGCCAATTCGTGGGCAACCTGTACTTAAATGCTTCGTTTAGGTTGGAAATGAGATCAGTGGAAGTGTGTCTAATGGTTAATTCAGTTATGTGTAATGTATCAATGATTTTTTCAAATCGACACAGCGGTCGAGCCGGACATTTCCCTAAATTAGAAGCATCGAGATAAGCAAACTTAACGACTATATGATAGGATACCCTTTTGGTAAAACTCAATCTATTCTATTCTAACTATTCTAAAACAGTGGTTCAAATTGCTGTTCTTCAAAAATTTTGCAATTCTTTTCATCGGCATATTTGATTGGAATCAAGAAAAATCACACTGATTCAGATCATGTGGTACGAGGAAACTATGCAAACTACGTCGCACGTGGTGACAACGGTTTCGTCCTTCATTTTCCACTAAACTCCAATTACTTTGGATTTACCGATAGTTTGCTGGGATGTGGCCTGAAAATGGTCACGATCATAAAGATTTGTTGTCATGTTGTATGATATGTTCACTATTAACTTTAATTGCGAAAGCCTGNATTGGCTTCTGAATGACCGTTGAGTTTGTCAACCCTTCACTATCTACTTCTTCTAGCTATCACCTTAGCTGTCGTCAGGTTCTTAGGAGCATACTTAGTGCTACATATTGGGAT